ACTGACCTGCCAACCATTTTGTCATCTTTGTAGACTGGAATGTTTGGGGTTTGTTTATTGTCATACGGACCAAAATGACAATTTGGAGCACCAAACCATTCATCAAATCCATGTTTCAGTGGCAGGTACTGGGGTAGATGGCCGAGATGCCTTTCAAGAGAAGGTACATGCACATGTGAATAACTGCTGAAGGACACAAGTAAATGAATGATTTTATAACAATTTTGGGTTTTCAGCAATTTATCAAATTGAATTATTTCTATTTTTTTTATCAGTTCTTTCCATCCAAAAACAACCCACCATTTACCCACTATTTTACTGTAGTATCCTTCTGATTTAAGTAACTTGGGTAATAGATCTTCGTTTTCTTGTATTCCACCAACAATGTTCTGCGGTGTATACCCTTTGAAATAAATTCAAGCAGAAGCTTTGTGAGTAGACAATAAATTATGAGATTACATGAATTTTACCATAAAAATTGCAATGTAATATGAGCATTCAATCAAGAACCATTTTGTATTCCTCAAACAAATTAGTTATCAATATCATTCCATCTGTTCCACAACTTTCCCAATCAAAGTTCTCTTATAACAGAAATTTAATTAAAATGGATAATTTCCTTTAACAGTCAACTATCATTAGGAAGAGATCACTGTCAGGGGTAAATAAGTGCATTCATCAATTTCTTTCCATGGTTATAATTGACACTGATGTGGCCATGACCTGCTTCCATTTAAACCCTTTGACACCCAAATCAATCAATCAATCCAGTTTATTGTCTTTACATTAGGCATGGTTACCCAGTTGCCCGAGCCAGAGGCTCATGTATGAAACGTAAGACAACCCACCCATCTCCCTCCAGGGGAGGACATCCACCACACAGTAATCTTGTGCGTGAGAAATTAACGTCTCCTACCCCTAACCCTGCAGGAGATGGGGCCTATGGTTCGTCCTCATCCAATGCAAGAAGACTAGAATATCTATCCATTTCTTGATATTATAGAAAGGTAGCAAATTCTCCTCAGGTATTTTAAGAGCATGAGTATTGGTCCAGCCGGGACTTGAACCCTCGATCTCCGGCACAACACAATCCAGGGCTCTAATCAATTGAGCTTGCCATGGGGCGGTGATTACCATGCAACTTCTCCCATGCATGTGCATACTTTTACCGGCAAACCGATGACGAGAACACTCAAAAATTTTTAGCCAATGGTTATTGTCTAGATCTCACACCAAATTCTCCTTATTTATTTAGATGGAAATGTGTAGCAGCTAGAGGGGAGATCTTAGGATACTTAACATTAACAGAAATCAGTTTCCAAAAAGTTTAAATTTTTAGGCCACCACTACTACCCTTACCATTTCGAGCATGAGCATTAGTTGTGTAGAATCCATTTCGAATTGGAAGTCGTCCAGTGAGTAATGCTGCACGGGCTGTTTGGGTAAAAAGAAAAGGGACATTTCTTGGTATAAAACAGTAGTGAAAGTAACATTTAACAAAGAAAGCACCTTTTTAGTGAAAGTTATATAATTAGGGGTTGAAACTGTTTACAGTCAATAGAATTTTAAAGAAAAGGCAGACAAAATTATCCAAAGAATGTGATTTACTAGGACTTGATGGTTTTATGCCATCCTTCATCATATCCTTTGAAATTTTTATGGCCATTGTTGAAAACTACCAAGAGCTTGACATGCCTAGTTTCCACAGTCAACATTTAACGTGAGTTAGAATTACATTTTTCTAAGCAAGCTACAGGTAAAAGACATATGGTAACACATGTGATGTAGGGTGTCACAAACTGGACCTACATGTACCCAATAATATTTCACTTAAAATTGGTTCGAGATTTGATCATACAGTGTGATAATGTCTGAATACAAGTAATCTTGACTGTGACCAAAGACTGAATGTTTGAACAACATGAATTCATCATTTTAAACTATCAGTGGTAAAATATACTTTCAGTTGAAGGATAACAAGCCGATGCTGTGTGTCCAACAAGGAAAAAAAAGTTTCACTCACAAGGAGAACATAGAGGATTTGCACTATAGAAATCTGTAAAGAGCATTCCATCAGCAGCCATCTTATCAAGATTAGGTGTCTCTTTTGCTGGCTGACCAAGCACTCCTAAGTCACCCCAACCCATCTGTATTGCACAGAGAGAAATTAGTAAAAAGAAGATTTTGTTTCAAAATGAATGTTACATGTCAGTGGTGGATCCAGACTTTGAGCTAAGTGGGGGGAGAGCTGTTTTTGTTTGTGTGTGTTCACCTGCCAGCTTTTCTTCCCTCTGCATTAATTTTTTAACCCAAAATAAGGGAGGACCTGGATCCCTCTTGCCTCTTCCCTACATCTGCCACTGAATGTCATTAGTCAATGCACTTCTGATTAGCTGAAAACAAGTGCATTTTTCATGTAACACAAGTGCTAATTAAAAATAGAGTGTGCTGCCAAAATTTTAGATTGTTTTGACTTTCTATGATGCTTTTTTCATGAATGATTTTATTTTCATCCAACAATTGCTATATTTCACAATGCCTGCTATTTATTAATGCTTATTTTTTTAAGCATTATTTTATTGCGAGTTATTTAGTCCTAATTTTTCGAAATTTGTACAGTGTGTGGCGATCTCAAAAATTCTATCTGTTCCAGTGTTGCATTTAACTTCGAACTCACACAAGTTTGTTCTTTTAGGGCCTACCCAAAAATAACTTCAAGAATTTGCGGTCTAGCTTCGTCATGGTCAGTGTGCAACCGGTGTCCCTTCCAGAGATGAGAAGTGCGCAATACATCATAGAGTCATAAATAATTCGATGAACCATCCAAAAATAATTCGAACGCCCATCAAAAAGTAGTTGTAACACATACGAAAAATTAGGACCGAAAAATTCGCAATGATTGCTTAAAAAAATAAACACAAAACAATGCAAGCACTATGGAAAATGGCAATTGTGTAATGAAAATGAAATTAAACAGGGCCAAAATTTATCTTTCGAACAACCAAATTAATTCACTCTTTGCAGTTTTGAACAAAACGGGTCTCTATGGATTTGGAGATGCAGGAAAATGAAGCATAACCAGTCAAACAAACTAACACCGTTAAAGGGACGACAAAGGATTCCTGGAACACTTGAGTAACTTACGTCATCCATAAGCATAATAACAATGTTCGGCTTTGTTTCGCTTCTGACAAACTGAGCTGCACTCAAGCAAAGTAGAGAGGCTGCGGCCCATGTAAACTTTGACACTGAGGACTTCATCCCTTGTCTTCTATATTCCTCAGTGAGTTGTCTGTGCAGCTCCCCGTTTATTTTGCCTTGCTTGCACAGATCACACTCAGATCACGTGACGTCTCTCGCGGACCTGGAGAAATCGAATCTTTGTCAAAGGTCAAGGATTAACGCTGGCGTTTTTAGCGTTAACGTTAGCCTTAGTCACAGCGAATAGTAGTAGTAGTAGTACTTTTTTTAACCACATTTCACGGATGAGTAAGACTCGTTTCAACGTGAACGTGCAAGCTTATAATAATAGAGTTAATAATAAAATTAACTAATAAGTAAATAAAATTTAAGTGAGAATCACATAAACGGTACAGGAACTATCATAAATTAGTAATAAATAAATGAGGATAATAATACTAAGAGAAAATCTAGCCATAGAGAAATTAAACTATGTACAACAGTTACAATCACACTCTATTCTGTTAGTCAGGTTGACCTATTCTAACATTGATTTGAAAGTGTTTTAGAGATGGAGCTCTCCTTACATTAGTTGCTAGTCAGGAAGATTATTCCATAATCTTGAGGTGACGTAATGATATGACCTATGCATGAATCTGCTGTTATATAGCCTTTTAAGTAGGCTGATTAAGTTTACAGAAGCCTCTGAGGTCATATTCATTAGTACGAAATAAGAATGGAGGAATTGTGAATTGTGTATGAGGTTATTTGCAAAAAAAGGATCTACGCTATTGGTGACGAGAAAACAAGACGAAATCAGTTGAATGAAAAGCGAGTAGACCAAGAGTGCCGATTAAAAAATAAATTTTTGTTCTAAAGTTTTTCGGCTTTCCCAACTACCTGGATGTAAGGAAAGGCTGCAGACTGCTAACTTCTGGGGTAAAAGAGGGAAAAATGTGAGAGGGTTAACTGTCAATCAATTTGTTGGCCGCGGTGATGAACCGCTTGAACGACAGATAGAGAATGCAATTCATGACATATGATGGAAGCTAGTAGGAATACAAATAACTATGTGAGTCGATAGGTTTGTATAGTACACTCTAGGGCATAAACCGTTTCCTTCCATTAAAACTTTGATTATACACTGAGTTAGTTCCCCTCCGGAAGAGGAGGTAGCGCCGATGCGGTCATCAAGGTAACGACCGTAGAGTTCACGTTTGGGGCTGTTGTATTGACTGAAAAATTGGTTTTCGATAAAACCTTTGAAAAGATTGGCGTAATAGGGTCCCGTTTTGGTACCCATGGCTACGCCGTTAGTTTGTGTGTAACAGTTAAAAAAAAGTTTAATATTTTATGGCTCCATCGTCAAAGCTTTACCATCATACATTAAAAACAGCCAACACGTAGTTGAATTTTTTTCCAACCTTTCTTCGGATAATGGTCGACTCTAAAAGGTTTAAAAATGCAAGAGATTGTCTTCATAGCGGCCGACAAGGGTGGGGCAGTGGTTGTTTGGCGGGTCGACCCATACCAGAAAGAAGCTTTGCGGCAACTTTCTGGCACCTCTTTTTGTCAAAAAGTTGACAAAGATCTCACTTCCATTGACCAAAACATTATCAAAAAGACTAGTAACAATTTCATGGCTAAAAAACAACAACCGGCTTCTGCAAAAAACCTCTCCACTACCACTATTAGAACCTTTTGTATTTCCTTTTCACCTAACATCCACAGACCTAACAACCCAGGTCGACACATCGTCTCGTCCTGTAGTTGTCCCACCGAACTAATTTCTACTATTTAGACAAAATTATGCTTCCTTTCCTCAAAACTTTACCATCATACATTAAAGACAGTAAACACGCACTAGAATATTTTTCGTGACTTTAATTTCCTTGGCGAGGGCAAACTTCTTTTCATGATGAATATGACATCTCTTAATGCTGTCATTACCAATGGCGAAGGTTTTCTGGCCCTCAAACACTTTGTTAGTACTTTTAAGGAACTTAGTTCTCAAACACCACTCCGCCTAGCCGAACTTATGCTTGCACTTTTTTTATCAGGGGAGAACTATTACGAACTGATGGGGTAGCCATGGGTACCAAAATGAGACTCAGCTACGCCAATATTTTCGTAGCGTTTACCGAACACCAATTTTTCAGTCAACACAACGGCCCCAAACGTGAACTCTGTGATCGCTACCTTGACGACTGTATCCTCTACCAGAAAGGAGTGAACTCAATGTATAACTGCAGTCAATTTCCTTTAACCCGACTCTAAGATACACCTGGGGAATTTCAAGTTAGACAATTCTTTTTCTTCTTTAGACTTCAAACTTTCAATTGAAGGCAACGGTTTATGCAGTTGTGTGTACAATACATACCAATCGACTCACATAGTTACTTGTTGTATTCATTTTCGCATCCATCGCATGTCAACAATTCCATTCCCTTTTCTTTGTTTCTTATATTTCGTCGTTTCTATAATAATGTCTCTGATTTTTTTTTGATAAATCAGAGGCAATGTGCCAATCTTTCGAAAAACGTGGCTATCTTGTTTCTGTCGTTCAAGCAGGCCAGTACCGCGCCCAGCAAATTAATCGACAGTCTGCACTACAAACGTCATAGAAGGAAAATACTGACTGCATTCCATTCACTCTCACATTTTATCCTCACATCCACAAATTACTTCAAAATGATTCAGAGACTGGTACTGTCTTTTCGTAACCTCCACTTATTTCATTCAAACGCGGAAAAAAAAAAAAAAAACTAGGTAACGTTTTGGTCAGAAGTTCATACAAACTAAGGACCAAACCGGAACGCTCACGATGCAAACTTGTGCTTTCATTCATAAAGTTGAGAAAATATGGGGACCCGAACGATCCATTAAGATAACTAATCACTTCACCTGCAAATCCGCCAGTGTCATCGATTGCATAATTTGCACTTATTGCAAAATAATGATTGATACACAGTTGCTAGACACTTAAATCTCCCTAATCATTCTTAGCAGCACATGGCAGTCTGCAGCCTTTCCTTATATCTACCGACTTCGGACCGCCGCAAAAGTTTAGAAGAAGAATTTATCTTTTAAATTGGCACCCTTAATCCTCATGGTATTCATTCAACTAATTCAGTCTTGTCTTTCTCGTCACCATGTTCCCAAATAGCGTAGGTCCATTTTCTGCGTTTAAACATACACAGAACCCACAATTCCTCAGTTCGCTCTACTGCTCTGACGAAGGGATCAGTGCCCAAAACGTCATTTTTAGAACTCTTTACACTGGCCAATTTACATTATCAATCCGGCTGATAAAACCAAAATTCCCCCTTTTTGCTTCCAAAACAAAAAAACGAAATGGTGTTTGGCTGAAAGAAGTTTTATTGATAAAAATAATCACTAGCTGAAACAAATGCAGTACAACGAAGAATTACACTAACTGCTAGAACTATCATAGCGGCATACGATCGAAACTGAGGGAGGGTGGGTGGGAAAGTGGACGGTAATCGTCACGATCGAATCGGCATTGCACACTGCACAGCAATAGAACGAACATGAAGCCAATGAATGACACCCTACGAATATAATCAATTTATACCCGAAATACGACGCTGGCTTAACCTTTGACCTGAGCCAGGTTAACTATCAAGAGGCAATTAACTATTTTATCTGTCGGGGACTGTCGGGTCACTACCTGCTATTAATGTCTTGATACAGTATATGATACCGTATATGAAGTAAATACCAATCCAAGATGGCGGTCTGTGTTGCTGTCATAGGAAAAGAGGTAAATATTTGTCCTTTTTAAGTTTAGAAACCATTTTGAGCTTTTTCCTCAGTACAATTTTTGTTTAAATAACGTTTCAGAACTATCCACTGTATCTTCGGACCGTCTCTCCTGAAGAAGAATTGAAATTTCACTACACAGTTCATACCTCGTTAGATGTTGTCGAAGAAAAAGGTGGATGATTTCAGAATAATAGCTGTAAATATTACAACAAAGCTAGGATGCACTAATAGAAAAATTCCTGGTTATTTATGTAAGGATTTTTTTTTCTGATAGCATACGTAAACATGATCATAGTTATAATCTATCGTAGAATTTTAAAATTAATATATTCCGTTCGCATTTTTTTTTCTTCCTAGCCTGACTAGCACAGTGCATGTATACCAAACTTTTCGTAAATTCATGGAACTTTTGTAATGTCATTCAAAGAAATAAATCATCTGCTTGCCCGTAAATATTCTACGCTGCCAAGTGTTACCACAAGTCTCGGGTTATTTTTTGCTCGTTGTTGTATTTCAAGCAAGATATCGCTTTTAACAAATTTATTTCATTGTTCAGTTTCAAACATCGTCCTTCTAAATTTTGGTCTCTCATCATTCATGGTTAGTCGTGGGTAGCCTCAGAAGCCTGGCCCAAAAATGATATGTATTTGATATGTTGCATTCTTAGTGTCCTCCCTAACTAAAAGTTCCAATGATCCCCGAGAACTGTACCTTGGTTTGTTATATCCTACTGAAGACTATAAAGTGTATCCTTTTAAACCTTCTTCCGAATATATGGTTAAGATCTGTTGCAGAAACATTGTAGAGGCAAAGTTTTACAGTTCAGCTGCAAAGGAAGCCTCTATTCCAAAAAGAAATTTTACTGCTTTAAAACAAGAATATTTCATTGTCTCGCATAAGTCAGGTCCAAAGAAGTTTTGCCTTTACATCACAAATTTTCCTCATGGAACATATGTTTCAAAGTTGAGCTACCACAACAAAAAAATCAAAGTTACTGCATCATTTTCTTTTAGTTTAGCCATGCCTCAATATTCTCATCAATAATGTATTTTTAACAGATTTTGAATAATTTTGCAGTTTTTGTCTTGTCTTATGGGAAACTTCTGTATGAAGTCTTTAAAAAAGTGAGTTAGCAAGTGTGGCAGATTTCCAGTTTACTGTACAAAGGTGGTTATTCCATATATGTTTTAACTGAACAATCTTTGACTGAGATGACAGGTATGGTTATGTTACAAACTCCAAAATCAAGTTTGTGATTGTAGTTGAGTCTGCAAATACTGCACTAAGGGACAATGAGATAAGGACGGTAAGCTGTTGTACCTGTTACAAATTGTTCAGTGTATTTCCTTATTACTCCGTATCAAGTTTCTATCTGATGCATATTGTAGTTTACAGCAACAAATTATTTTTTCAATATTTGTATGTGTTTATACTGTTCTCTTAAAATTACCATTTTAAACAATATTTTTCTCTCAGGGCAAGCTTATTCTTCAAATTGTGACCCTATTTCAGTCCTAAACAGGCTATTTTTCACACTGGTTTTTCTAATCTGGGCCCCATTTCTTGAAATTCCTTGTAACTGAATTGGGCCCAAAGTAATATTTTGACACCTGTCTGTTAGGAATAATAGTATGGTTCTTGGCTCAAAAATGAGCTCAATCTGTTTTGCTTCTTGATATATATCAATTGTTTGAAGCACAAAAACTGGCTGTCAATACCTGAATCTTGAATGAAACAAAGCAAAACAACAATTGCCTTTTCAGGCAAGTTAAGTTTCTGGGTCTTTTGAGAAATGGATACAGGCCCCTAAATGTATCTCTGTGTTCATACCTGGATTCTTAATATTCAAGTTATATTTTGTTTGTGCATGTATTTCACTGAAGCATTATCAGGCTTCACATCAGTGCCTTAGTCAAGAACTGGTAAAATTCACCCAAAAATTTGGCTTGGTAAATTTTGGTTACTTATTCATTTGGAGAATGAAAGACAAATGAATTTAATGTGTGCCCTCAAGGTTCCATGAAACCATATCCAGTGTAACACAAACTCTAAGAGTGTTTTCAGACCCAAAGGGGTCCAAAGTCATAGGAGGCTGTATCGCATAAAAATTTATTTTATTGAGGAAAAAAAATGTTTTTAGTGGTACCCTTGTGGTTATAGATGGCATTTCCAAGAGTTTTCTGCTTTAACATTGGTTGCAAGTATTGAAAATAAAATTGTTCTATGAAAACACCTTCCCCTTGGAAAGTTGACTCAAATTATCAATCGAATAAATTCTCAGTCACAGCCTCCTCAAATTTACACCTTGTCATTCTCATTTCTACTCTTTTACTGGATGGCATTAAGAGACAGAAAGAAACAAGTAATCTCTTCATTTATTTTTCTTATGATCTTTTGATTTTTTTACTACTGCCAGATGTTTCGAAAACTTCATGTAGCATATACAGATATGTTCTGCAATCCTTTTTACAACCCTGGCGAAAATATAACATCAAGGTGAGCAAAGCAAAAGCTTCTAACTCAAAGGAAGGAACTAAATTCAAATGTTTGTTACACTCAGTCTGTTCTTTCATATTAAGGATTTCTCCTTTTAAGTTTTAAAGGATTCTGAAAACAGTCCATAACACTTTGGAAAGTGGCTTACACTACTAATCATTAATTTAGAGGTCATCAAAGTAGTTCTGTCTGTCAATTGCTTTTCAGATCATATCTTATTCCTAACGCTAACACTTTTTTTCAGGCGTTTTGAAGAGGCAATTGTAAAAATGATGAAAGAAGATTGATCAACAGAAGTGCTTACTGCACTATGAACTTACATTACTTCTTCAGTACTGCTTAGCTGTTTGTGGATGCTCTTAAGCAGGTTACAGCATTGCAGAGTATGGTACTATTGGGAACAAATTGACACATTAGAAAAATGATGATGGACATCTCAAGCAGTCATGTTGACTTCGTGTCAAAATGCAATCTCGTTGATTTTCACGTTTACTTTTATATAGATTTTGAAAATTGGAAACAAGTGGAAACTTAAGAAAAAGGCCTGGTGTCCAATGTTTGAGCATGTCACTTGGCTACCACAACCTTACAAAATGGTCTTTGTAAACATACAGTAGTTGATAAAAGATGAAAAGTAAACAGTATACCCTTGACAGTTCAAGATGTTTTCCAGTTAATTTGAATGCAAAATGCACGAGAAAAACAGGGCAATTTTGTTTTCTAGTGCACTGAACTTACATTTAGAGGTCTGGGTCCATTCTCCCTACTCTTCTTGATACATTTTGGTACTGACAAGGAGAATTTGGTTTACAATCAAAAGCTCCTTAGGTTTGGCAATCATCTCCTTTTATTCTCGTGGTCTTTGTGAACAATTAAGTAGTATTACACTAATGAGAAATTACATGCTGGTCACTCAGGGTTCGACCCAACACAATCTAAACTTTCAGGACCTTTTTCTCTAACCAAAAGTATATCTGCTGTCAAGTTGACCAATTGTTGGTAGATTACTTGCAATGAACTGAAAACCCACCCTGGCTTGGTACAGTACCAACAAAAAGAACAGAAACATCCAACAAGAAGAACAACAAAAAGAACAGAAACATCTGGTACATTTTTACAAAATTTTTTATTGATGTTTTCTTGCAACGCTGAATACCTGTTAGTCCAATACATTTACTAATACACAACAACAACACAAAAAGTGTGTATCTGTATTTTTTCACCCTATCTCTCTCTCTCTCTTGTTCCTCAGTCACTCAGTGTTTCCTTAGTTCTTCTTTTTTCAGTCTTAAAACAGCTCATGGTCTTTTTTTTTTCTTCTTCTCATAAAGTTTTTCATTCTCAAAAAATTTTTTGTCTTCTTTTTTAAACCTATTTTTTTTTAACACCACAGTCTGTCTTAATTGAAAGAGCTTTTCAAGTCACTATACCTACTCTGGAATATATCCATTAGGTAAGAAGGCTGAGCAAGGCTCTCATTTTAACCAATTAGCAGCTTCACGGAGTGGTCCCTTGATAATTGCCAAGAAACCTGTGAAGACAAAAACAGCTGAACTTTGTCAAAGTATGCAAAAAAAAAAAAGAGTAATGCAGAGCATATAAAAAACAATCACTTAAAATAGATTGTAGGGGTCAGTGAAGTCTTTGGAAAGTTGTTAATACGGAGAATACCAGTATGCCCTTCCACGGCCCCTGTAAGAGAAAAAAAAAATTTCTCAGAGAAACAGAAGAATTTTTCCTTAGACTAGTCTTAAGCTATATGTGACTTACTTGTCCAACTGAAATTCCCTGTTTATCCCAACAATCACACAGAGGTTTAGATAAAGCCTGCATTTTAAGACTCATGAGATGGCTTAAACCTAAATCATTCACTTTTAACTGATGGCTACACATTTCTTATAGACCATACATTTCTATTTGCCAGGTGGGTAATTGTTTCATAGAATTTGATGTTATTTCTGAGCAATAATTGCTTTCTTTTCTACAACTATACACTGATCACTCTGGAAAGTAAAAAGGTTATACCAGAGCTCAAGTGAAACCATCACTGACCTAAACATTGCTCTACCCCTAGGCCTGGGCATGTAATTTGAATAAGGATTGTACAATCCTCCTCTGAAGCCACGTCCTCTTCCCCTTCCCCTTGGTGTTCCTCTGTCTGTTGTGCTGATACCAGGGCGATTTGTTCTTTTAGGATTTACCTTGGATAACAAAATGACAGAATTTCAACCAATTCAAACTTCATCAAAATCAAACTTTCCAACAAAGCCAGGATTTACTTGTAAATCTGATAGTATACCTTTATCTGTCTTCCTTTGAACAAGGAATCATCCATGGTTACTGCATTTTCTACACTCTCCTTGTCAGAAAATTCAATATAGGCAAACCTAGCAGCAAGTAAAATAACTGTCAGTATTTAGAGGTCTTGTGACTAAAACACTGGCCAAAATAGAAGCTCAAACCCTACTCCTGTTGTTAAGCTCTATTTTTGACCAAGAACTATTTGTCTCAGTTCTGCTCTACAGAAAAAAATCACATGGGCAAAATGGGAAACTTGAACAGTTGCTTTTGGGAGGGAGGTTACCTTCAAAAAGACTACCATCCCTTCCCCTCAGAGTGGCATTGTTACTTGTGTAATGCTTCAGAAAGGATAGTAATCGCTTGCACATGTACATCAGTCTTGTATGCAAGCTTAACAACATTTGATGGCAATGATCATAGCGCACATCCACAAAAACATTACAAACCCTTTAGGGTGTCCAGTGAATTTGTCACAAAGAATTGTGACTCTGTTAACGGAGCCACATCCATGAAAATGCTGCTCTAATTCCTCAGCTGTTGCAGAATAATCAACCTGACCAAAAAAAAAGAAAAAAGGATGAAAAGGATTCTGTAAGAATTCTTAAATTATTTATGGTAAAGAACAGGTGCAGTAGTTATAAATACAAACAAATCTGAATGTCCTTATGAATTTCTCACACTTCTGTGCTAATTTCAGTTTCTATTAAAAGATGAGAAACAGTGATTGTAATACAGATGTTCTGTTACATGTTGGTGACAGCATGGAAATAGCATTGAATTAAGTCCATGTAAGGTTAACAATCGGGTTGATACACATTCAGAGCATCCCTCTTAATTTCAGCATCATTACAGCGTTACTTACATTCCCCACATAAACTGATCTTGCATCAATTTCACCTTTTTCTTCGATTGTTTTTGGGACTTCAGAAAAAAAAAGAGATAATATTTACTAAAGAAGAACAAGTCAGACAGATGAGGAAAATGCAATATGAATGTAGCTGAGAACCCACATGCACTAGGTTGGAAAAATAAAGCTCAAAATTCATTATCCTTCCTGTTCTCATTGGACTGATAGAGTTCTTCTCATCATAGCAATTAACTCTTCTTTTACAACAATATTAACCCTTTCACTCCCAATGGTGACCAAGGCAGAATTTCTCCTTACAATATCAATACAATATCAAGTAAACAAGAAATGAGAATGGAGAAAAATATCAATTGGGGATTATTAGTTGATTCAAATTCTCTGTACAAACATTATATGAATAATAAAGGCTGATAGTTTCGAAAGAAACTGTTTGGGGCTGCATCGGTGGGAGTAACGAAATAATTTGGATATATCAACAAAGTTGAAATGGTAAATTGGCCACCGTAACAATTACAAAAGCTGACATTTCGAGCGTTAGCCCTTCGTCGGAGCGAATAGAGGAATTGTGGGTTGTGTGTGCTTTTAAAGGCAGAAAATGGAGCTACGTTATTAGACCGATAGTTCGGAGACATAAACGCTCAATTGTCTTTATTGTTCACCACTGAGTTTTCTTCCGCGCGCCAGTTAAAAACCGTCAAAACTCA